TCTAAACGAGACACAGTGTGTTAAAAAAAAAAAGAATGTATGTAGGCTTGGGAGCAAGAGGAAAAAGAGGACAGACAACTATAAAAAGAAATAAATAGTTTTAAAAAGTAAAACAAAGTCTTTAAAGAGACAGTAAAAGTAATATAAGAAAAGCAATATAAAAAGTAATATAATAAAGATGGAAAATACACAGATAGTCTGGATTATGCATATTATTGTTTTCTTTGAATTTTTGACTGCAGAGAGACCTTTGATTCTGGGGGCTGCTAAGCCAAACCAACATATATATGTTAAAAATATCTTGATTTCAAATTTGATTCTAAGGGTATGCTACTTTGGAAAAGAGGTTCTGCTTTTGTTTCCACCGAAGATGAGAACCTGTGGATTCCTTACATGCTAATGTGATCTGATGGAACAAAACCCCGGAAAGGTCTCTGTGTACCCTAAAAATACGTCTCCCAACAACCAGCAGAAAGCATTTTGGAGAAAACAATGCCCAAATTCCTAAAATGATTGCTTATAAATAATTATTTTCATTTAAAAGGAGTTGATTATAAATGTTAATGGTCACAGTCAAGGTCTTTCTAAAGGAAAAGATGGCATATGATATAGAGATGAATACTTTGCATTGTTATGGATCTTGGGTTTATTGATACAAATTGAAGGTCAATTTTATTATATTTATATTCCTACTCTTGTTTAAGGTATTATGTTTATATAGCTCATTTAAAAATGTAATGTAAAATTTAAAATTATGGATTAATAGATAGTCATTTATATTAATCAAACTTGTAGCCATGTTAGGTTTTCTAGATATGTAGAGATAAATTTTAGTTAGATAGATAATCTTCAATACTTCAAAGACCTACAGATTATGGCATTTAAAAGATTTTAAGAACTTATAATTTTATTGACAGTGAGACATGTCTGCTTCTGGCAACACCAGTTACTTTAGAGAGGTTGATGGACATCTAAGGAGCTCATTATAGAATTTGCCTTTAATGTAATAACACTAACCATTTGAGCAAGAAGCCGATCTTGCCTGGACTGCTTAATGGCATGCTGTATGAATTGGACATGCAGGGCCCATTGAAAAATAACAGCTAAACTTGTGAATAGAAGGTGAAACAGTCCATCAGTATTCCTGTTTCACAGGAGAAACTGCTAGACATTCTGCAGTACACAGAAGACAGCAACTGACGAACTTTGTTTGCCATTACAAGGCAGAACAGATCTTCAAATTCCCTGCTTCATGGAAAAGTCTTCCAGATACTATGGGCCTGTATGCTGAAGATGGATGCTCCAATGTTACAGAAGAACTTTGAGTGACTCTCCAGGTATCAAGATGTGTCTGGCAATCCTAGAGTTTTGAAAGTTGCTTGCAAAGCACTTCCTGTTTACTTAGGTAATAGTCTATCCTTCTGGGGTCTTTGATGAAGCTGAAGACAGTTAAAGTTTTCTTTAGTTATGATAAAAGAGAAATTATATATAAAACTTTAGATTCACAATGAAATATTGTAATATGTAATTTTACTATGTTAAAGTTAAAACCTTCCTTTTTATTTAGACAGAAAAGGGGAGATGATGTGGGATTCCCCTCTCTTTGCTGTGAATATGTTTATTATCATTGGTTAATAAAGAAAGAAGCTGTGTTGGCCTATGGCAGGGCAAATTAAACCCAGGAGGGAAATCTGAACAGAGATATAAAGAGAGAATAGGCAGAGTCAAGAAGATACCATGTAGCTGCTGAAGGAGAAAGATGCAGGAACCTTACCGGTAGGCCACAGCCTCATGGAGATACATAGATTAATAGAAATGGGTCAATTTAAGATATAAGAGCTAACTAGAAATACTCCTGAGACATCTGCTAAACAGTGTTGTAATTAATATAGTTTTTGTGTGATTATTCAGGTCTCAGCAGCCAGAAAACAAATGCACAATTTCCATTCACATGCATGTATACATGCAAACACTCAACTAATTCAGAATTTAGATCTTTTACAGCATTTTTCATTGATTTTGGAATTTTCATTTTTAATTGTTCCATTGTTATTGTATGAATGTATTAACACAGTATGATATTTCATGGTTAATTAGTATGTTACTAGTTTAAACATTTATCATTCAGATAAGAATACTCAGAAAAGGAGAGCAGAGATACAAGGAACATACCTAAAAATAATAAAAGTAATACACAGCAAGCCAACAGCAAGCATCAAACTAAATGGAGACTAACTCACAGCGATTCCACTGAAATCAGAAACAAGACAAGGTTTCCATTCTCTCCATAGCTATTCAATGTAGTACTTAAGGTTCTAGCTAGAGCAATAAGACAACAAAGGGAGATCAAGGGGATACAAATCAGAAAAGAAGAAGCCTCACTGTTTGCTGATGATATGACAGTTTACATATGGGACCCCAAAAATTCTACCAAGGAAATTCTACAACTCATAAACATCTTCAGTAATGTAGCAGGATACAAAAATAACTAAAAAAAAATCAGTAGCTCTCCTTTACACAAATGATAAATGGTCTGAGAAATAAATCAGAGAAACATCACTCTTCACAATAGCCACAAATGACATAAAATATCTTGGAGTAACTCTAATCAAACAAGTGGAAGTCCTGTATGACAAGAACTTTAAATCTTTGAAGAAAGAAATTGAAGAAGACACCAGAAAATGGAAAGATCTCCCACGCTCTTGGGTAGGTAGAATTAACATAATAAAAATGGCAAGCTTACTAACAGCAATCTACTGATTTAATACAATGCCCATCAAAATCCCAGTAAAATTCTTCACACACCTCGAAAGAACAATACTCAACTTCATATGGAAAAACAAAAAACCCAGGATAACAAAAACAATCCTGTACAGTAAATGAACTTCTGGAGGCATCACAATTGCTGACTTGAAACTCTACTACAGAGCTACAGTACTGAAAACAGCCTGGTATTGGCATGAAAACAGACAGGAGGACCAATGGAACCGAATCAAAGACCCAGATATCAATCCACACACCTATGAACACCTGATTTTTGACAAAGAAGCAAAAAATATCAAATGGAAAAAAGAAAGCATATTCAACAAATGGTGATGGCATAACTAGATATCAACATGTAGAATAATAAAAATAAATTCATATTGCTATGCACAAAACTCAAGTCCAAATAGATCAAAGACCTCAACATAAAGTCAGCTACACTGAACCTCACAGAAGAGAAAGTGGGAAGTATATTTTAACGCATTGGCACAGGAAACCATTTCCTAAATATAACCCTAGTAGCACAGACACTGAGAGAAACAATCAATAAATGGAACCTTCTGAAACTGAAAAGCTTCTGTAAAGCAAAGGATATGGTCAACAAGATAAAACGGCAGCCTACAGAATTGGAAAAGATCATTACCAACCCCACATCAGACACAGGTCTGACCTCCAAAATATACAAAGAGCTCAAGAAATAGGTCATCAAAAGAACACATAATCCAATAAAAAATGGAGTACAGACCTAGACAGAGAACTCTCAACAGAGGAATCTAAAATGGCTGAAAGACCATTACTTAATGGCTTAAGTAAGAAAATGTTCAACATCCTTAGTCATCAGAGAAATGCAAATCAACATAACTATGAGATTCCATCTTACACCTGTAAAAATGGCCAAGATAAAAAACACTGAAGACAACTTATGCTGGAGAGGTTGTGGGGAAAAGGGAACACTCCTCCATTGTTAGTGGAAGTGAAATCTGGTACAGTTGCTTTGGATTTCAGTATGGCAATTTCTCAGAAAATTAGGAAACAGCCTATCTTAAGACCCAGCAATACCACTTTTGGGTATATACCCAAAGTATGCTCAGTCGTGCCACAAGGACATGTGCTCAACTATGTTCATAGCAGCTTTGTTTGTTATAGCCAGAACCTGGAAACAACCTAAATGTCACTCAACCAAAGAATGGATAAGGAAAATGTGGTACATTTTCACAACGGAGTACTACATAGCAGAAAAAAATAATGACATCTTGAAATTTGAGGGGAAATGGATGGATCTAGAAAACATCATATTGAGTGAGATAACCCAGACCCAAAAAGACAAATATCATATGTACTCACTCATAAGTGGCTTTTAGACCTAAAGGGGAAAAAAAGCAGCCTCCAATTCACAATCCCAAAGAACCTAGACAACAATGAGGGCCCTAAGAGAGACATGCATAGATCTAATCTACATGGAAAGAAGTAAAAGGTAAGACCTCTTGAGTAAATTGGGAGCATGGAGACCCTGGGAGAGGGTAAGAGGGGAGGCGAGAGGAAAAGAGGGAAGTGAAGAATAATATATAGCTCAATAAAAACAATTAAAAAAAAGAAAGCTCAAAATAGGGATGCAGAGGTGACTCAGCAGTTAATGACACTGGATGTTCTTTCAGAGGACCCAGGTTCAATTCCTATCACTACAGCGACCTCACAATTGTCTGAAACTCCAGCTTTTGAGATCCAACACCCTCACACAGACACACATGCAGAAAAAATGCAAATTCACAAAAATGATAATAAATAGATCATTAAAAAAAAGATTGTTCAAAATTCAATTCTCATTTATCATTACTACCTACTCTGAAATATTCAATTAATTAGATATTCTTAAACATCCAATTAATTAGCATTTCTAATCTCTGAGAAATGGAATCCTGAAATTATGGTGCAGACCAACAATCCCAGCAGATCAAAGACGAGGCATGAGAACTGTGAGTTTGAGGTCAGCACAGGCAACATAGCAAACCTTTTTTTTTTTTGAGTGTCAGGGAATAGAGCGGGAGTGAGAGGGTTCAGGAGAAATGGAGAATGAAGACGAAGGGAAGAAGCAATACTACAATGGAGTACTGCATAGCAGAAAAAAATAAGGCATACATGGAGGTTCTCCTCTTGCATCTTTGACTCCTCAGCAGGCCTCAGCAGGGAGGCCCTGGCAGTCCTAGGCCATGAGCAGCAGCAGAGAACAGACTGATTACCTGGGGAGCCCATGACAGCTGTGGGTCTTGGTGTCGCTGAGGGGATCCTGACAGCTTTCCTTACAGCTCACCAGGTGTCCAGGCTACAGGAGGAAATAACAGCCTGTGGGACAGAATGGGGACAGCTGCTGTGACCAGGGATCTGCTGACCACAGATCATTCGATGGTGACTGCCAAGAGCCCAAAGAACCTGATCCAAAGCATGTCTGCTCTCCCCGGCACTGTGACTGCTGTTTAAGAAGCCTATCTTTTGGCTCCAGTCCTGCTGCCGTCTCTCCAGCCAATCCAGAGGACAAATGTCCTTTGGAGCAAATGGAGAAGGTGTCAGCTGAGGACACATCTGTGGAGAAACAACAGACCCTGCACACAGAATGAGAGATGGAGAGGAATGTTCTGGTAGCCACCTTGGTGTAGCAACCATGTTTTTATTAGTAATAATTTTTTTCATACTTATCAAGTGTTCATGATGCTCTGGGCTCCTTAGTCATACATAATGAAGTCTTTGCACATGCTGTGTTAAGTTGAGATCTTCTGACTCCGTGTCATGGAGGTTGACAGACACATATTTAGGTAATGTATGTGAGCTTTCATACTGACAGAGAGAGGACTTGAACCCTGAACATGGTAATCCACATCTCACTCTCAGATGACTAAGCTCCACTGTCTTAAAGACACAACCGCATTCCCTCCTCTTTATATTACATGTGTGCATCGTAGTCTGTGTGTGTTATAAATGGTTCTTCTGTTTCCACAGCACTGCCTGTGCCAAGTGCCAGGTCCTCATCTTAGTAAGTTTATGGGGTCCAGAAGTCAAACTCTCCTTGCTGCTGCAGTATCTTTGTCCTATCAGGACCTGGAGTCCTACCTGCCCCCAGCCCTGATGTGTGATGCCTTTGACACCCGCTCTTCTCCCTGACTCTGGGACCTTGTGATGATCCTCATCATTGTGTAAATAGTGATACAAAGAATGTTCTCATTGCCTGTTTTAGTGCCTGCATTTGTGCTAATTTCCTCATGACATTTGTAGGAGTAGAAGGACTGGGTTAAAGGCGTTAACACAGGCAGTGTGTGAGGACGCTCATTCCTTCATTCTGACCAGTCCTCAGGAGTCTTTGGGGGGTGGGGAAGACTTCATAAAGAGAGTGACACAAACTGCACTGGGATTGCCTGGAAGATGAGGAAGGAAGGAAAGAAAGAATGTCAGCAGTGTGGGTCTTAGGTATCAGCTCCTCCTAGGACCTGACCAAAAGGAGAGTGTTGGTATGGTAACAGTTGAAGATAATGGTGGGTCCTTCTCAGGATTGCAGTCTGCTCTTGTAACTGCCAACTCAGTGGTCTTTCCCAAACCCTCCAAGTCTGCATATATCCCAGGCTGGCATGAGACACACTATGGAGCCCAGGAGAAGCATGTACACCTTATCTTTGGCCTGACCCACCCAAGTGTAAGGATCCCAGGTTTGTTCCCCTCCCTTCCACTGTTTAAACCTTCTCATACTCACATGGATTCATAATGCAATAGAAAGAATATTTTAAAAAAAACCTAAGAGTTAGTCAGTCTTACACATGGAAGATGTTCTAAAGTCCCCTCCCCAAAGTGAAACCTCAGGGACAGCATCCTTCCTGGTCTGTAATATTAATTGGAACTTGGGACATTAGTAGACAGGGATGGAGTCATGTGTTCATTTACAGGCTCCAAAAAAACAAGCACAGTAATATCCAAATCCATCTTAGAACTAATTTATTGGCAAAAGATTATAAACATTTGAAAGACGCCCATTGGTCCAGTTATGGGTACACATCCCCACTGTAGCTGTTGGCTGTGGAAGGTTGTGGAGTTTTGTAGGACAGTCAACAACACTCACCCAGGACTGTAATATGCTCAGGTGGGGCCATAACCACCCAATTATCCAGCAGGCAGACAGCAGAGTGAGTTCATGGAAACCTTTGCCAGGGTGTGTGGTGCAGGTCAGAGTAACTTGCTTAAGGCCCAAGTGGGGTGAGTTGGGAAGAAGTGACCATCTGTACTAGTCAGGTTCTCTAGAGTAGCAGAACTCACAGAATCCATCTCTCTACATAGAAAGGGGTTTATTAGAACGACTGACGGGCTGTGGTTCAGCTAGTCCAACCGTGGCTGCCTACGAATGGAAGGCTGAAGACTCCAGATACTGCTCAGTCCACAAGGCTGGATGTCTTCAGTATATGCGGGAATACTGAAGAAGGAGGCTGTATTGCTGGTGAGTGAATGGACTTGTTAGGGAGGCAAAAGCAAGGAGGCAAAGATTAAAAAAAAAAAACTTTTCTCTTTGTTGTCCTTATATAGCCTTTCAGCAGAAGGCATGGGCTAGATTAGAGTCAGGGCTTCCCTCATCAGAAGATTTGTATTAATTGCATATCTTCGCACCTCAAAGATCCAGATTAGAAGTGGGTCTTCTCACTTCAAATTAAGCAAAAATCCCCTTACAGATGTGACCCACTTTTGGGTTTTAATTTAATTCCAGATGTAGTGAAGTTGACAACCAAGACGAGCCATCACACCACTCAACCAGAGTCCACAAACCCCAGGGCGTGCACTGCCACCAAGACAGAAATTGTTAGGAAATAAACACTTTGGAAACTTGTGGGACAAATGTTGAAATTTGTGGGACAAAGGTTAAAATGTGGGACAAGAGTAGAGCTGTGTCTGAAGGGAACTATGTGTGGGGATGTTGATTAAATTAGTTCAAGTGAAAATATGTAAATTATTTTAATCATCTACACCCTGAGTTCTTTTTTTTTTAAAGTAATTTTATTAAATTATAAAAGTTTCCATTTCCGCCCCTCTCCCACTCCCCCCACTCCCTCTCCTCCTCCCTCTTTGTCCCTAAAGGCAGTCAGGGTTTCCTGCCCTGTGGGAAGTTCAAGTTCCTCCCCCCTCCCTCCAGGTCCAGGAAGGTGAGTATCCAAGCAGACTGGATCCCCAAAATCCAGTATATGCAGAGGAAACAAGTCTCAGTGTCATAGTCAATGGCTTTTCAGAAAGACTTCGGGCCAGCTACATTCAGAGAATCCGGCCAAATTCCGAGAATCTGGTTAGGTCACATCCTCGTTCAGTCCCAGTCCAACTGGCCTTGGTAAACTCTCATTAGATCTGTCCCCTTGTATCAGTGGGTGATAGCATCCCTCGCAGTCCTGATTTCCTTTTTCATGTTCTTCCTCCTTCTGCTCCTCATTTGGACCTTGGGGGGCTCAGTCCGTTGCTCCAATGTGGGTCTCCGTCTGTATCGCCATCCATCGTCGGATGAAGGATCTATGGTGATAAGCAAAATATTCATCAGTATGGTTATGGGCCAAGGCCGGTTCAGGCACCCTCTCCTCTGTCCAGAGAACAATCTGGGGATCTCTCCTTGGACCTGGGATCCCATATATAATCAAGTCTCCTGTAAACCCTAAAATGACTCCCTTAGTTGAAATATATTCTTCCCTGATCCCACATGGAACATATACACATTAGAGTTTTACTCAGTGGTAAAAAACAATGACATCTTGAATTTTGCATGCAAATGGATGGAAATAGAAAACGCTTTACTGAGTGAGGTAAGCCAGACCCAAAAAGAGGAACACGGTATGTATTCACTCATAAGTGGATTCTAACCATAATTAAAGGTCTTTGAGCCTATTATTCGGGATCCTAGAGAAGCTAAATAAGAAGATGAACCTGATGAAGATTATTTAGCTATCCGCCAGGAGGTAGGAAATAGACAAGAGTCCCAGGTAACCTCGGGTGCATGTGGGGGTGGGAGGGTTGTTGGAAGGGGAGAGGGTTAGAGAGAAGGGAGTAGGGGAGGAATGGGGAAAGCTCGGTGGCCTGGGATGGGGGGGAGGGAGGAAGGATGAATACACCCTGAGTTCTTGACTGATCTGGGATCCAAGATTTGGGGCCTGATTTCTTCCCTCTGAGCATCTCCGGCATCAGAGACAAGCTCATTCTTCCTGGTACCCACTTTCCCATTTTCTCTGTGGCATGTGTGCCAGGCATCCAGCTACCAAGGAGAGCAGTGCCCTGCTAGGGATGAGCAGAGCAGACAATCCTAGCTTTATTTATCTGAAGAAAAGGAGAGATTCTGAGAGGGAAAGTACTGTGCACAATGTCACACAGCTGATTCTGACTTAGAGGGGAACATGTAGTTTTTAATAATTCCAAATTTTCTAGAATATTCTCTGCTTGTACAGACACATAGCTTGCCCTCCCTGCACTCTGCCCTTTGATCTTTCAAACACACAACCTTTGGCACTGTTTACAGCATTGCACAACTTGCCCTCCCTGTCCCCAGGTTGGCACTCTTTTCCACCCAGCACACATAACACTCTTTGCCTTCTTTCTGTAGCCCCACAGACTGAAGAGAGGGGGTGCAGGCTGGACATCCATTGGCTTACTTCCTTCTAGAATTTGGAACAGGACACTCTTTTCTGAGCCTCAGGTAACACCATAGAACCTGGCACAGACACGCATACTGAGAGATTCACGGTGTAGTCTCTGGGTTCCTTGTATCTCACACATCCACATTTGCCACCATCTGTTCATGTGGCAATATGTAAAGGACAACTCCAGGGTGGTCATGACACAGGATGGGAGGACTCTGGTTCTCTGCTTTCTCCATTCACATCCTCAATTCCCTCATTTTCCAGAGGGCACCCAGAACAACTACCTTCCCTCTGAGGTGCCCTAGTCTTATGTCAGGCTGTCTGGAGAATCTGGGCAGCCGGAAAGGAATGAGCAGCCTTCCATAACACATCTAAGGATGTCTGACAGTCTCTTGTGCAGACTTCTGAGTGAGTGGAAAAAGCACCCAGATTGTAACATCGATGCAGTTCAGCCACAGGCTGATGAACCTGTGACCCTGCCCATTGCCTAAATCACATTTATAAAATGGGGCAATAGTTCTCTTTACAGTAGTTGTGGGGATGGGCAGATATTTCCCGACTTATGGAAGAATCTTCTCCCAACTAAGTTTGATGGGACACAGTGGTCCTTAGTAGTGTGTCCAGTCCCCAGTCCCAACCAGAGGCAAACTCTGGACTGATGTTCCCGGCCTGAGAAGGGTAAGTGGAGTCACACATTCTGAGCAGCCGATGATCCAGGGGACCCCTCAGACAAGTCACTCTCTTGGTGTCGCCCTCTGTCTTGCCATCTCTAATACCCACTCAGAGGAGTGACCTCAGACCCTTCTCATCTCATAGTGCTTGGTGAATCTTTGTGGTCTCAGCCACCAGTGATTGTGGAACCCTCAATGGATCGCTTGCCATCTCTGCTGGGCTCTGTCCCTCTGTCTTGTACAAACTCCTCCCCATCCTTCACCTGGTTTCTTGGGGCACAGACCCTGGATCCAAGCTCAGTAGCAAATGTGGATGGTACAAATGAAAGTGTCCAGAAGGAATCCCAACTGAAGCTTCTAAGATCCTAATTAGCTCATGAGAATGTCAATAGCAGCAGGGAGGCTGGAATGTTACAGAACATGACCTAATAACACTTTGTCTCTGACTGTCCTTAGTCCCCTGAATATCCATTTATTGCCACTGCTGTGTTGGATTTAACACTCTCTAAGATAAAAAGCATTTGCGATTAACACAGCAGACCACTAGCTTCCTCCAACCCACAAACTAAGACCTTCCACAGATGACATCCGAGGTGTGTAACCCTCTCCAATGCCTCCCCAGTTATCTTGGAAATGTATTCATTTATGGCTTTCTTTGTCTGTTACCATAAAAGCTTCATGAAATGGTTACCATGTCAGAAGATGGACTTTGGAGTCATCTAAATCTGTCTTCCTGAGCCATGGTCACTTCTATTTGGCTCCACAATCAATTACATCTTATCCCCTTTGAGGTGAGAGCTGTGTTTTTTGTTGACAACAGCAATGAGCAGCTGCCTCTCAACCCTGAGCTCTGGCCTGGGACTTGCTGTCAATTCCTGTGCTTCTTTGTCTGGCATCAGTTCCCTTACTGCCCCAATTGGAGGAGAGGGATCACTCCCACTGTTCACCCTGGCTGCACCATCTACAGGAAGAAAAAAAAAACCACAGAAGGGAAAGGCAGGAAGGGAGGAGTGCCCCCAACACATGGAGTTTCCTGAGAGAGGTTTCCTGTGGTGTCCTAGAGCTTCAGGAAGGGGGGATCAGCACTGCACCTCCTGTTCTTGTTAATGAAGAGTTTGGGAACCCCTGGCTATGGAGACACAGCACTGGCTTAGAGTGCAGGCTCCTCCTGGGACAGATGAGATGAAGTTGGGAAATGATTGCTTGGCAAACCAAGCATAGATGAAAGCAAACTTTATCTGCCCATTTCTCTAACGTTCTGTCAGAATCTGTACCCTGGATAGGGCAGTGGCCTTTGAGCTCAATTCCTCACACTCTCCCAGTTACAAAGGAGTGCTTTGCTTCTGTATACATTTTGCCTTATTTCTATGTACTTCTTTTCATTTTTATTACCGTTATTAATTTATTTATTGTTTCTTGCAAGGCGAGGCACAGTTTCTCATGACTGTGCACGTGAGTAAAGGGGGGTTCAGAGCTGAGGTAATGTTTTTTAGTCTGTATAAAAATCCATACAAAATAAAGCTTGTTGTGCAGTTGTTCACACTCTGCATCCCCTGGGTCCTGATTTGCGTGAGACCCTTACCCAGGGACCCCAACACACTAGACGTTGACAAGTGGCACCTGAACAGGGACCCTGAAGAGGAAAAGTCAGGAAGGGTCTGAAAACATTAACCAGATAAGTAATCTTTATTACAGGGTAATGGGACAAGCTAAATCTTCTCTGTATCTTGTTATGCTAAAACATTTACTAAAAATTCATAATGTTTCTGCTTCTTTTTCTGATTTGGAAATGTGTGTCGAAGTAATTAAGGAATGTAATCCTTGGTTTCCAGAAGAAGGCACCTTAGATATAGATACTTGGCAAAGAATTAAAACTAATGTTGAAAAAGCTGTGAGACAGAGTGAGAAGATACCTGTCCATTTCTGGTCTATATGCTCCATGATTTTTACTGTTTTCAAAGCTATGAAGGAAGAATGTTCAGTGACAGATCTGGGAAAGGAGGTTACTCTTTCCGTAAAAAATTTGGACGTGGATCAAAAAACCAAAGAGCAATTTGTGGAGGACCAAAAAAGCTTAATCAAGAAAACTAGTTTGGATTTGCAATCCGTTTTGAAGAAACTTAATGGGCTAGAAAAGCAAATGAAAAAACTGGCCGCTGAGTTGAAGCAGAAAGTAGTTCCAGCTGCACAAGTTATGACCGTGTCTAAAAAAATCTAAAAATCTATTGGACTTGGTTTCTTTGTCAAGGGGATCTGGAGTTACACAGTCCTGGATCTCTTTCTAAAATTGATCAGGTAGAATTAAAATTAGTTGAAGAACATATTAAAAATGATTTTTTGAGGAGAGTACAACCTAACATTCCTATTAAATTATTATTATTGGATACTTCTCAATATCCTATAGGTATTTTAGCTCAAGATATTTTTCCCCTTGAATGGGTTTACACAAAGCATACATTTTCTAAAACAATAACAACTTATGAAAAAAATGTTAGCCTATATAATTTAACAAGGGAGACAATGATGTCTTACTTTGACAGGTCTAGATTGTTCTGGTATAATTTTTCCATTACCAAAAGAAAATGTTGAATACATGTTTCAGCTTTCAGAAGCTTTGCAAATTTCTTTAGTTTCTTTTACTGGAAACTTTGAATATCATTTTCCCAAAATCAAATTGTGGGACTATTACAAAAACAAGAATTTGTAATTAATGATGTTGTAGTTGTCAATCCTTTACCTGATGCATTAACTAATTTTACGGATGGTTCCAAAACTAAGTGTTTATTGGACAAAATCTAAGTACTGGGTAGAATTTACAGATTATTCTTCCATACAACAAAATGAATTGTATGCTGTTATTAAAGTCCTTTAAGATTTTCTTCAAGAGTTAAACATTGTAGCTGATTCAGCTTTTGTTGTAGGAGTTGTACAAAATATTTTTAATGTTGTACTTCATTCCACTAAGCATTCTTTCTTAACTTTGTTTAAATTATTACAAGCTCTTATTCAAAATAAAAATTCTTGCATTTTTATTACCTGTGTACGATCACATACAAATTTGCCTGGATATCTTACATTTGGAAAAGCTCAAGTGGATAAATTAGTAGCTTTTTCCTCTGCTCAAGAAGAACATGAACATTTACAAACTAATGCTAATCGTCTACATGTCCAATATAAAATTCCATTTTGACAAGCTAAACAAATTATTTTGAATTGTCCAATTTGTAGTCCATTACATATACGTTCTATTCCTGAGGGGGTTAATCCTTGAGGATCTCAATCAGATGAAATTTGACAAATGGATGTTACTCATATTCCAAAATTTGGATGTTTATCTTTCCTCCATGTGACCATAGATACTTTTTCATCATTTATATGGGCTACCCCTTTGGCTGGAGAACACACAAATCATGTCATACAACATTTATTAAAAGTCTTTTCCATCATGGGTGTTCCCTCTCTTATTAAAACAGATAATGGACCTGCTTATACTTCAAAAAAATTGCTAGGTTCTGTGAATGGTATAACATTGCTCATGTTACAGGTATTGAATATAATCCACAAGGACAAGCTATTGTTGAACATGCCCATCATACTTTAAAACAACAAATTAAAAAATTAAAAAAGGAGGAAAAAGGAAGATTATGGTATGGAATTAATGTGGAGTTTTCAGAATAATGTGAGAGCCATTTTACATCAAGCATTATTCATGTTAAATTTCTTGAATCTGCCCCAAGGGGATATTTTAACTAGAGCAGAGAAACATTTTGTAAACACCCCAAAGGCTGAACTGGCAGAAAAAAATTTGGACCAAAATTGCAATAGCTGCTGAATGGCAGCCTGCATTGCTAATGGTGACAGGGAGAGGATATGGTCTTGTCTCTCTGCAGGATGGGCAACAATTATGGCTCCCTGGCCGCTGGATCAGGGCTCGGAAAGGAGCAGAAACTGAAGACAGGAGTGTGACGTCGTCTTGATGGCCCTCCGGTATTGGCCATGGCACTATTATCTCTATGGAAGTGACCTCGATGACATCGGTCTTCACCCTACCAACATGGGGTCAGGTGAAATCTCTTGCAGCCCAGGGTCAGATTATTGTCCAGCAGTCCAGAAGACCAGTAACAGCTGAACATCTTTTTCTGGCCCTGTGTGCTCTGCTAACTGTCTCTTCTGTTCTGGGACCAGCTGTAAGTTACTGGGCTTATGTCCCTAACCCACCTATGTTTGAACCTGTCTTTTGGGGAGATACTGATATGTTAGTATATACCACTCCCAGTATCCTCTCTCGTCCTTGGAATAATTTGATTTGTCTGAATAATTTTGTTGGGACTCCATATAATTTTACTTATATAAATAAAAGGAAGCCGATATGCTTTGGAAATGGTCCTTGTTTTTCAATGGGATTTGAGCATTGGTTACAACCTGGTATTAAAATCGGCAGATCTCGTACTCGTCTTCAAAGACTCTCAGCATGGTCCATTAATCAGACCTGGGATAATATTATTGAAAGTTATGAATTAGCATACCCTGTATGTCCAGATTTTACATATTATAGTTTAAAATATGAGTCACTTATTGGGAAAATTTGTTTGGGCAAATTTGGCAAAATAAATGGATCAATTGGAGCCCATATGGTCAATTTTTTAACACTTGTTCTGAATGGAATATTACCACTTGTGATTTGCTTAATGTTACCAGGATGAATCAAGCCAAGAATGAAACAATAACTGGAAGCCGTCTTCTAGCATGGGGAGATGGAGGAATCAGTGATAATCGCATTGCCTTTCTCACAGTCCCTACTGCAATTCAGACACATATTTGGAAGATCATAGCTGCCTTAAAACTTGTTCAGCTTTTTAATGGATCATTTGTTGGGACAGCAGTATCCGCTTTTACTTATAAATTTACCCTGTTTAAAAGTACTAATGTCACTGCTTGTGTGCCACTACCATATGTATTTTTAGTTGGAAGAGTCAATTTCACTACTGGAATTAATTGTTATGATTGTCAATTGTATTCATGTATTAATTCCTCTGTTAAGTTTAATCCTCATAATCAATCACTTATGATATTTCAGCAGCATACACATATTTGGCTGCCTGTTAACTTAGGTCATTCTTGGGCTCAAAATCCTCTAGATCATATTGTTGTAAAATTCACAATAAGATATTGAAAAGAACAAAGTGCATGTTAGGTATAGTAATAGCTGTAATTCTTAACCTTATTGCTTTTGTTGCTACTGCTTCTGTGGCTGGTATTGCTTTACATACATCCTAGCAGACAAAACATTTTATAGAACAATGGCATAAAGATTCTCATGAATTCTGAATTTAGCAAGCTCAAATAGATAGATGCTCAACTTCAGACAGAAGTTGATGTACTCAAGCAAACTGTGGGATGGTTGGGAAAGAAATATTTATCTTTGCAAGAACAAATTACCTTGCGTTGGGACTGGAATTCAACCACTTTTTGCATTACTGATTTGGCTTATAATGATTCTTTACCTGAACAGAAGATTATTTAAGCTTATCTTTTGGGCAATGCCTCTGCTTGATCTCTCATTGATCACTTACATGATGATATAGGATTTACTTTTGCTAAATCATTTCCTGATTCGGATGCCTCTACCATTGCACAAATTTTTGTTGACAAATTGACAGGAATAGGTCCTAAGGGATTCTTATGAAGTATTCTTCATACCTCCGGTGGTATGCGTATTGTAATCATTCTTATGCTTTTCTTATTCTTGATTATGTATCAGTTTTATATTAGACCAAATGCAGAAAATTTACATACTTTATGGTTAAAACTCCTTTTAACTTCAAATAAAAAAAAGGAGGAAATTGTGAAGACACAGAACTGTCTTAGAGTGTAGGCTCCTCCTGGGACAGATGAGACGAAGTTGGGAAATGGTTGCTTGGCAAACCAAGCATAGATGAAAGCAAACTCTCTCTGCCCATTTCTCAAACGTTCTGTCAGAATTTGTACCCTGGATAGGGAAGTAGCCTTTGAGCTCAATTCTTCACACTCTCCCAGTTACAATGGCGTACTTTGCCTTTGTATACATTTTGCCTTATTTCTATGTACTTCTTTTCATTTTTATTACTGTTATTAATTGAGGTATTGTTTCTTGACAAGGTGAGCAAGAGTTTCTCATGATCGTGTTCGTGAGTAAAGGGGGATTTCAGAGTTAAGGTAATGCTTTTTAGTCTGTATAAAAAGCCATACAAAAATTTCACCTGGGCAGCCCTGATCCAATCAACACACTGGCATGAACACTTGGAGGGTGCCACCCACAGCCCTGCCAACCTTGCTGAGTCAACAGAGTGACCTCAGCTTAACACTCCCAATTCTGCTCTGGCCAACTCATCTCTGGTGGGCTCCTCGGAGGACACACCACCACAAACTGGGAACCCCTTCACAGATCACCTCCAGTCCCTTGCTGCTCTGGCAAGCCTTCCCAGTGCTCTAACAACCCCCTTCCCATCCCCTACTGCACTTCAGTAGAATGTCCCTGTCACAGTTGGTTGATGAGGACAGCACTGCTGATGGTGGCAGGCACGGTGCTTAGACCCATTCCTGTGTGGATACTTCTGCCTCATGTTTGTGTTCTGTGCTCAGATCCATCACACAGAACCTCTGAGAAAGCCCAGCAGCTTTTACAGCAGACTCTCTGGCTCCCAGATTGGCTCCCATGACCCCTTTGGCAAAGAGGTTATAAAAGCCCACTGCAGACAGAAAATTTGAGTCTACAACAGGTGGTGATGATTGTGGAACATCTCAGCTTTGCTCCATGTTGCATGGGGTTTAAACATGGCTGGACCTCATCAACCAACGGACCCTTGTGTCAGGACAGGTTCCATTCCACTCATGTGTCCCTGGAGCTTGGTGGCCATCCTCACTCTTGAGAGAAGGACAGCAGGTGACATGGCCTCTCCACACTACTGCTGCCAACACGCTTACTTCCACACCAGACTGGAGTTTATTCATCATCCCTTATTATCCAGCTCTTTCCTGGTTTATAACAGACAGAAGCTATTGTTAATACCTAGGGAGCGCTGTAACTTTCTGTTGAGGATACTGAGATATTGGGAAAGGTAATAGCTTACACCTCAGGATTCAGGGACTTGCCAACCTCAAAACAAGACTGGTCATCAGACATTAGACTCTTGTAACCATTCTTTCTACCTTGAAGTTATTTGGAGTCTAGGTAGTTCAGTTCCAAGCACCCACATCCAGTAGCTCACAGCCTTCTGTAATTCCAGGTCCAGGGGAAATGACACCCAGTTACAATCTCTGTAGGAACTGCACACAAGTGGAGCACACACAAACAACCAGGCACGTGCGCGCGCGCACACACACACACACACACACACACACACACACACACAGAGAGAGAGAGAGAGAGAGAGAGAGAGAGAGAGAGAGAGAGACAGACAGACAGACAGACAGATATACAGACAGACAGAGAACCAATAGGATTATCAAATGTAAAGTTATTTTTACTGCTCTCTTTCTCCACACTCCCCTGCTCTGTCTCTTTTCCCTCCATCACCAAGGGTTTAGCTGGACAGTGAGATACATCTGCAGTCAGGTACAGATCATTAAATGTCCCCAGACAGCTGAGTGACAGCCTGGAAGGGACTCTCAGAGCAGAGCATAGAATGAACCAAAACATTAATACACTCATGAATAGAATCAACATGGAGCAATAGGACACTCTACAGATTTGCCTGAGAGAAAGAAGGATATCAACCTCCAGGTAAACAAGGAGAGCCCATCCCACCTGGACATCCTGAAGATAACGCCAAAAAATGGATCACAGACCAGTGACATGACAAGAAATGTCATGCAGTGTGGCTGCCACTCCAGAGGCAGGGATGCTGAAAAGACCTTAGCTCCACATGCAACTGCAGCCATTGGGAGTGTAATGTAATGGGAAGCAACCCTGCAATGGCTTTAGGAGGAAGAGGATGATCACCAGCACCACCTAGTGGACCTGCAGCCATGGGATCTGGGTACCCTGGTTATTACAACCATCCAGTTCACACCATGGACTCAAACATGCCGGACACTGTACTAGGTGCCCAAAACATGGGTCCACCTCTCCCCTCATCTCCCTTTCTCTAGAGACATCACATAGTAGGGACAGGTGTCTTTCAACTGACTATGTGAAATGGGGCATCTGAAGTCACTCAAGAGATAAACATCCCAGGTCTGCAAAAACAGGGAAGAGAAGTACATCCCTTGTTCACAGCTCTGAGTGACCACAGGGAAATAGAATAGGCTGAGACTTCCCCCGGCCCTGAGTCTAGCCGACTGCCTGATTTCGAGAAGCCTATTTGTCTTTGCTCAGATGAGACAGCAGAGCCCAAATCACAAGTGCCAACTTCAAGGAGGATCATAGAGGAACTGTATGTAGAAGATGGCGTGTAACCCACAATTACCCTATTTCCATGGCAAAGTGCAGATAACTCACCTCAGTCTGACACACATGTGCAGGTCAGGGATGGCAGGTGTATCTACAGAGGGACCGCAGTAGCTCTGTGATTCCAGTTCAGACAGGATCTAGTGATCGACACAGAGCCTGTGGCTCATCTTCAAAACTCCTGCTGAGCCCTGAGGATGGTGCCAGTGAGCTTTAAAGAGAGAGAGGATCCAGCTTCAAGTTCAACGGTGTCCAAATAGGAGTGGGAGGAGAGAAAGGAGAGTTCATGAGAGTCTTTCCCCCTCCCCGTGCTGTTCCTCATAGAGGGACAAGGGCATCACTCACTCCTTAGTCACCAGAGAGACGGTTGGCCGGTGTCCCTCTCAGGCCATTATGTTTAAAATATCTCAAAATCTGGTCCTAGTCTCCACCTCCTTTGCTGTTGTAGATGTAGGGAGATAGGGCCGCTGTTATTGATGCCAAAGCCAGTCCCCACATGAGGTGAGCCCACAAATCTTATAAGTAAATGGACAGCTGACAGATCTATCGGAGTATCCATGGGAAGTGTATACACACACTCCACCTGGAGAACCCGTTTTTGCAGAGCTATGGGACAACTGTCCTTTGAATAAGGCACTGTCAATTCTGTAAAAATCTTGTGAAAACATGGCATTTCTCCCTTCTATAGTATCTATGCAGTGTTTAATCCGACTTTTCCTGTAGGGCAACTGATACCTCCCCCGACACCATGCAGCCACGGTGTGAAAAGGATTCACTCAAGTCCTTTTCTCATAGTCAAATTCTACATAAAAATGCTCCCCACACACTTTCTTTATTGACAGTAGTCACTGATAAGAAAGGAGCCTCATACAGGAAGCAATATGTCTGCTCTAACAGGGAACACAGGAACGTGAAATCTACTGGTCTCCTGTTCTGACGTAACAGGTTACAAATATTCTGTATTACCTTTACTTTGGTTTCAACTAACATAGGATCATAGCTCGGGAAATTAACTGTTTATACAGAAAAAAGGCCCAAGTCACTAAAACTAGTTTCAGAGAGAAAAATTCTCACCCGGGCACCCTGCTTTTGTAGTGGTACATGGGACTTTACCACAGGCTGTCAGTGTTAAAAATGGGTCTGGCATCCTGGGTGTCAGTGAGGCAGATGTTAGTTTTCAGGCATCTGTATGGGCCTTGGGGTCCTGACAGGATCCGTCCTCAGCTGCCGTCACTAAGAGCCCCTCCTGTGCATGTTTGCTATGCTCCCTTTTAAAAGGTGGGTCTGCTCACAACCCCCCACTGTGTCTCTTTTGCTGCTCCTGTCCCCAGAGCCTGGTCTCCCCCTTTACCTTTCCCCGTCTCCCATTCCCTTTCCCCCAACAAGCACCCTTCACGTGAGCTCTATGGCATGGCATCTTTCTCCTCTCGCTGCTTTTGAAAATTACAGCACTGCAAAATTCTGCAAAGAGAAGTCACGTCCTACAATGAGGCTCACACAGGAGGTTTACTGGAAGAGGAGGGAGATGGAGGAGAGTTGGGGCAGAGAGGGGCAGAGACCGGTCCCTGTGGACAAGAGTGATGAAAGATAGATAGAGATAGAGAGAGAGAGAGAGAGAGAGAGAGAGAGAGAGAGAGAGAGAGATGGTAGGTGGGCAAGGACCACCAATTAAAAGGGAATGTAGGGGGGTGGAGAGATGGCTCAGCGGTTAAGAGCATTGCCTGCTCTTCCAAGGGTCCTGAGTTCAATTCCTGGCAACCATGTGGTGGCTCACAACCATCTGTAATGACGTCTGGTGCCCTCTTCTGGCCTGCAGGCATACACACAGACAGAATATTGTATACATAATAAAAAAGTAAATTTTTTTTTTAAAAAAAAAGGGAATGTAGCAAATGTGACCAGGAGGTTCTGTTAGCGGCTGCAGCTGAGGACGGATCCTATCAGGACCATGAGGGCCAGCGCAGATGCCTGAGTACTAACGACAGGAGCAGCCACTTTCTGGCTCTGGTTTAGGAGTTCCTTCTGTATTTGTGTTGCTCTCATTGGTTAATAAAGAAACCGCTTTGGGCCTGGTGATAGGGCAAAACTTAGGTAGGTGGGGAGACAGAACTGAATTCTGGGAGGAAGAAAGCAGAGTCAGAGAGCCACCATGGAAACGCCAGGTCAGACATGCTAAATTTTTCCCGGTAGGCCACTACCTCGTGGTGAACATGGATTATTAGAAATGGGTTAAATCAAGATGTGAGAGTTAGCCAATAAGAGGCTAGAGATAATGGGCCAGGCAGTGTTTTAATTAATACAATTTCTGTGTGATTATTTTGGGTATAAGTTAGCCAGGCGGCCGAGAAGACAAGCAGCCTACTCTTCCTGTTACATGGCTCTGGTGAATGTCACCATTATTGTGCTCTGAACACAAACTCTCCCACTAATCCCTGGAGGTCACCAGGCTCCCGGCTTCCCTTGACCTCACATCACCCATAGCTCCCCATTAAAGACTATGGCAGGTGGGATTCCAACACTTCCTGTCCATTTCTTCTGTCCCATGCTGCCTTTTTTTGTATGGCTGACTGTATTATCCATTTTTCCTAAGAGATAAATGATTTTTATTCAGCCCAAGTCTATAGAGCATCAGGCAGTCAGAGTCAGGTGATCTGAGACATCGTCTAGACCAGCATCCCATTCCCAGCTCTGGAAGAAGCTGAGGCTCATGGGCTGAGCCTCTTCCTTTCTTCCAATTTCAGGTAACCTCAGTATCTTTTATAAATGATATTTAATTTCATTTATTAACTCAGTGTGTGCATGTGTTTTGGAGGGAGGGAGTGGGTGCCATGACAGGCTTAGGAGTGTCCGAGAACATCTTGAGGTGTTGGTGCTTGCCTTCCACAACTGGGGTCTCCCAGGATCAAGTTCACATCTCTATGTTTGGAGGAAAGTGCCCTCATCCTTTGAGCCATCCTGCCAAGCCAAAATCATGTCTTCTGACCCCAAGGGGTTGACACTACATACCACAAGTTGTTTGGCTTCTAATAAAATCTGTCTGCACTCACCAGGTCCTGAATGTGCTGCTGTGGAAAAGCTGAGCAGTAGAGAATCAGGCAGTACAGAGAGCTGTGGAGCTCAGGGTTGTTCTCACTATCTGGCCTGGACCCAGCCAGTACTCTGCAAAGTCCAGCCTGGACCTGGGTTTTCTCACTGTTTTTATGAGCTGAAACTCAGTGTTGAACTGGTTCCCTTTGCAGCCACCTGCAGAGGGCGCTTAGAGTGGAAATCCAGTGCAGTTAGGCATGCCTACAGAAGCAGGGCTGACAAGGTTCCAGCTGTTTCTGCCATGTCAGTTTGAAGAGATAGCTTTCCTAAGTGTTAGCCGTTTCAAAGCCAGGGGGAGTGAAGGCACAGTGAAGAACACAGGTCAGAGGTGAGCACTTTATCCTAAATACATTAGAAGTGAAGTGTTAATTCTACACAATCCCAGAGCCCTTGAGGAGGAATTGTCATTTAAGCTTCCCTGTGTACACAGTAGCTTGACTGCACCAGGTGCCCATTAAAGGTGATAAATGTGCAACACGTGTTCCCTTCTCACCTTCATTGCCACTGTCCCAGCGCTGCACATGTGGATCCATTTTATTTTCATTCAGGTCGCTTAGGTGATCTGACCCCTGCCAAGGGCTCCACCCTCTCTGCTGTCACCACGACCACCACCCTCAACAGCAATATCACTACTGTCACCATCCAGAGGTCACTTTCTGAAGGGCAAAGCGTGGGTTGGTACATGCAGGACACCCTCAGACACCTGAACTGAACACAGACCCCTCCAGTGGTAGCAGCTGCAGGCGCAGTTCTGTTGCCTGTCATTTGTGTTCAGCAGGGACAGACCTGGTCACAGCCCCTCCTCTGCTCTGTCCTTCCTTCACCCTGTTCATCTCCCCTGTCCCTTTCTGGGGCCTCTACTCATCTCTGAGCCTCACTGGTCTCTTCCCATAGCCTTTTCTTTTGTTAAGAGCACTTCTAACACCTGAGATACATTATTACATCATAAAAATTCATTTTAAATCCTTTTTAAGTGTATCTCTATTTTGAAAATAAGCTGCTACCTACTAGAATACTTTCACCACCCATGAAGTAATGCTCTGTCTATGAGAAGTGCCAATGGGCTGTGTCAATTCTCACCGACACCAACCATGGCTTGTTTGTCCCTTTCGCAAAGGAAGGTGTGTTCCAGGTGGGGAGAACCATAGAGGTGAAGTGGCCCTGGACTGGAAGCTGCAGGGAGTTCTGTGGGCACTGGATACCTCAGTGATCATTCACTGAAAGGGCTATGGTACTCAGTTCTCTTACCGCTCTGCACCCCCAGGGCGATGGCTTTGTCCACATCCAGCTGTCCCTTAGCCAGACATCCCTTCCAAGGAAGGACAGAGGGGCTGTGGGACACAAGAATGTTCCTCTAACAGACAAGACTCAGGAAGTACACAGGTCGGCTCTCTGTCTCAGGTGTTCTGAACTTGGGAAGAGGCCACTTGAGTGGTAAGGAAGAAGGGGACACCGCTCACTGCTGCAGCCTCAGGGGTCTTCTGTGGCCAGAAGCAGAGGGTGAGATCAAGAAGGAAAATGGTTCTTGTATAAATTTCAAATATTTTTGTTAATCCATAATAAAGAAACAGTTTTTAAAGGAGGAGATGATAGAAATCTGGAGAAAATTACCAACTTTCTGTAGTCAACAATCTAGAAAGCACATGATATCATTTTCACAAAACACAAAGCATGACCAGGTCATTGTTTACAGTGTTTACAAATTAATTCTTCAAATATTATGGAGCAAGTGTAGCTTTCGTGTGCATCTCAGCAGATCTCATCCAAATACAGCAAATTTTAAACTTCAGTAGGAATTAAGCCTTGTGACTCTCCCAAGAGTCTGCTTGCAGAGAGCAGAACTCACCAGCCACATCCTGTCACCCCTCCATCCTGTGGAGCCCACAGCTGGAACATAGGACCAAGCACCTGTGATGACCATGCAGATGACGTCCCCAGCACCCCTTCCTGTCTACCCTCTGAGCATTCCACCAAAAACTCATATCACTTCTCATGACCATACCACGAAGAAAGAAATGGGGTTCATGCACAGAGTCTGATTGTAAGATTGGGAAATAATTGGAAAAACACAGAATTTAGCAGAACTAGGAAGGAGGAGAAGTCTCTATCAGAAAGCAGTGGGAAAGCTGGCAGCTCGGTGGATTGAGGATGGTGAGCCTCTGTTAAGAGTAGTGTGGGGGGTGTGACTGGGGAGCAGCCATGCTGTGGCTTAGTCAGGCCTTGGGTGTGCTCCCCAGCTTGGGACCTTGGTCCTTATGTGGGATGCTAAGGGTTTTTGGATCTAAAAGAGCAGTGAAGTGTAGTGGGAGATCATAAGCCTGTCCCACCTCTGTTCAGGCTTCCTTTCCCTTAATGTGGCCTCTCCTCTAACAGGCACTATCACTGTTATGGCATTGATATAAAGAGGATACATTCAGGAGCCATCAAGTGTCCATGGCTCTGTCCAACACACCCCATCCCCAGTCCTCTGAGCTGCACTGAGGAAGAGGTCACTGAGTCAGGATGTCATGAACTCGGATGAGCTCCTGCAACTTCTGCTCCATGTCCTTAGCCTGTTGCCGCAGCTTTGCAGCAGACTCTGCCTTTGCACCCTCATGCAAATGCTTTGAGTCTTCTATGAGGCTGAACACATCTGTCACAAGAGAGAGACCTGCAGTGGCCACACCCATGATCCGGGCTCCTTTGGTCATTGCCAGAGCAGTGCCTCCAAAGACTTTCTTCACCTGTGTAGTGCTTTTGGCTGACACCTTCCCTGTGGTCATAAGACGCTTGGCATTATTTGCCAGGCGAGGGCTGACTTTGGTGATCTTGATGGCATCAATGTTCTTCTTCATAACTTCTAGGTCCCGGGATGATTTCTTAAATACAGAAATAAGCCTGGGGGTGCTCTTCTCCACAATTTCTTTAATGTCCTTTTCAGTGTTGTTGCTTTTAATGTCATTCTCGGTGTCGTTGCTCCTTGGCAGAAGCTGGCTGGCTTCAGCTTCCACCGATGCTGTGCTTACTTTTTCCACAATGGTTGTGGAAACACTTGTCACAGCCGCTGCTGCCCCAAGTCCCATGCCTGTGGCTGAAAGTCCCAGACTGACTCCTGCTGTCACAGGCGCTAGAGTGAGACCAAGAATCGTCAGGACCCCAGACACAGCACTGGTGGAGCTGGCCACCACTTGTGTGATGGTGCAGTCCCTGTGCACCTTGTCAATCTTGTCTGCAAGGGCGTGGAGCTTCCTGATGCTCTCCTCAAGCTCCTGTTTCACCTGAGGATAAACTTCCAAAAACCTTTCCTTCTCACGTGGGGCATCTTTCACTTTCCTGTAAAGGGAGAGACCAACTAACTCAGTGAGGAAGAGAGTTTGGAAAGATCTTTCCTGAGGCAATCACAATGATCTGCTGTGAATGAAATGGAGGAGAGTCTTGCAGCTGTATAATGTCATTCTTGCATTGGTGAGCAGGTTGGATTCACCACACAACATTTAATTGTTAAGGACACAATGAGCTAAAAAACCATGTTACTGTGTCCTTTAAAATTTTTATTTTAGTTCTTTGAGTGTTTTGCCTGCAGATGTGTGTGTGCACTTTCCATCTGCAGGCCTAGTGCCATGGAGGACAGAAGAAAGAATTAGATCTCTAGACCCAGAGTTACAGACAGTTGTGAGCCATCACGAGGATGCTGGGAACTGGACTTCAGCCCTGTGGCAGAGCACAAAGTGCTCTTAACTCCTGAGTCATCTCTAGTCATTTATCACACATTTTTATTGATAGACATTTAATAAACATGGCTTCCCCTCAAGGCCAATGTCACCACTACCAACATACTTCTTTCTAGGAACTCTAAAACACAGAGAAGTGAGGTTTGGGGGAAAAAATCCTTTATTTTAGGAAAGTTAGTGTTTTCCAAAGATTACACTTTTCCCAATAAAACAATGCCCCCTGGTTTCAGCTACTGGGAACTGACTTGTCTACCCTACCACGACCTGCTGCTGGTTTGGGATGTCCACATTTGCTTGGGGACTTGTGATTTGAGAGTCTGCTAATTGCACACCCCTGGGAGAGAAACCCTGCACAGGACACCCTTTGTAGCTGCATGACTCCTTGCACTGCAGCTGTGTGTACACCTGAGCTGGTGGGGCCGCTCACAGCTAAGACCCTTCCACTCAAAACACAGCACACAAAGTTCCCTTCCAGCTGTGAGTAGAAGATAAAGAACCATGAGTGGGTCCCCATTTTCATGTGGGTCCCATCCCCAAGGCACCTCACTGTGCATCTGCAAGTGTTTCCACCGCAGGCAAAACTGAGAATTCAAATTAGGTAGGTTCAGCCACCAAGCCCACCTTTTCATCTGCGAGGTCCTTGGAACCCAGCTCCCATGCTGAGGGGACCAGAGAGGTGAGTCAGTGGCCACAGGGCCAGACAGCTGGAAGTACCACTCTCCGGGACCTTCTCAAGGGGATGGAATCCAGGGCCCCCAATTCCCTAAGCTTTTCTGGCCATCCAACGGGGTTTGTTCCTGCTGCTGGCTTTCTTTACCCCATCCCACTTTGCCCCCAAGCCTGACTTTTCCTCCATGAGGTCCTTGGAACCCCCAACACAGACTGCTTCGGGGCTGAGGGGACTGCAGAGCCAGTGGGGAGTGTTCCTGCTGCTAACATCAAATTAAATGGAGGGAAACTCAAAGCGATTCCACTAAAATCAGGAACAAGACAAGGCTGTCCACTCTCTCCATATCTCTTCAACATAGTGCTTGAAGTTCTAGCAATAGCAATAAGACAACATAAGGGGATCAAATGGATTCAAATTAGAAAGGAAGAAGTTAAATTTTTGCTATTTGTAGATGATATGTTAGTGTACATAAGTGACCCCAAAAACTGTACCAGAGAACTCCTACAGCTGATAAATATCTTCAGTGATGTGGCGGATACAAGATCAATGCAAAAAAAAAATCAGTAGCTCTCCCATACACAAAAGATAAAAAAGCTGAGGGGAAAATCAGAGAACATCACCTCTCACAATAGCCACAAATAGCATAAAGTATCTTGGGGTAACAGTAAGCAAGGAAGTGAAAGACCTATTTGACAAGAACTTTAAGTCTTTGAAGACAGAAATTGAAAAGGATATCAGAAAATTGAAGGATCTCCCATGCTCTTTTATTGGTAGGATCAACATAGTAAAAATGGCAATCCTACCAAAGGCAATCTATAGATTCAATCCAATCCCCATCAAAATCCCAACAAAATTCTTCACAGACCTTGAGAGAACATTAATCAACTTTATATGGAAAAACAAAAAACCCAGGACAGTCAAAGCAATTCTATACAATAAAGGAACTCCTGGAGGCATTACTATCCCTGACGTCAAACTCTATTACAGAGCTACAGTAAAGAAAACAACTTGGTATTGGCATAAAAACAGAGATGTTGACCAATGGAATTGAATTGAAGACCTGGATATTAATCCGCACACCTATGAACACCTGATTTTTGACAAAGAAGCTAAAATTATACAATGGAAGAAGGAAAGCATCTTTAACAAATGTTGCTGGCATAACTGGATGTCAACCTATAGAAGAATAAAAATAGATTCATATCTATCA